GGGGGAGTGTTGGGCTGCCCCTTTCCCTGAAGACTTACAGCGAAGGGAGCGCTCCCCCCCCCCCCCCCCAGTGTCTTCCACCCCTAGCAGTGCCTACTAGCACCTTTTCTCCCCTCCCGGCCATGCGTACCACTCACCTGCAGCTTTTAGTTGCACATAGCTCAAGCAGGTCCTCCCCTGCCATGTGCACAGCATAAGCACCCTGAGTTTCCCAGCACTGGGGATGGAGCCTGGCGACGGGAGGCACGTCTCCCACTGGGCTCAGTTCCCAGCGGCTTGCAGGTGGAGCACAGCCCTGGTTCTTCCCTGCCTCCCACCACCTGGCTGCTGCTTCAGAACTTGAAACGTTTTGAAACTTTTGAAACATTTTGACTGGCCTTGTTTTGTTTTGAGGCTGTTTCGAAGCCCTTCATTTTTATTTTGATTACACTGTTTTGAGCTGGAAACAAGTTGCAACAGCATTGTAATGAAACAGCCGGCAAAGCTTCGCACAGCCCTATTTGATACCATACCTCTCATTTCCCTCAAATACCAAGAACACATCATCTAGCATGTATACCTAGCTTTGTTTTTTGTGAGAGATTCCTTGTGAGTCATGAGTGTGAAGGTATTGGCTGGGAGGAAGAGGAGTGGAATGACAACAAGGTCGCACACCAGGTATTATTTACTTATTGAGAGACTTTTCTAAGTGGACACAGCACTTCATGTAAAACTTAGAAGGCTGGGCTTTCTTCTTGAAGCTGCTAATCTAAATTAAACAAACTATTGACTCCTTAACAGTACTGTGTCGTTGGCAATCCCTCTATTTGAGGATGATCTATACCATGTCTCATTGATGGGTCTTGAGGAGACCTGTCTGCAGAAGTTGCAAGTCTTTTCATGGGAGAGAGTAGGCCATAGGCCAAGATTTCTTTCATTTTCCTTCCTCTGCTTTCTCTTCCCTGTTTCAAGGGGAAGATGCTTTATCTCAAAATGGGCTACCACTTAATTAAGGTTGCCTTTACTTTGGAGTCAGTTAGCAGTCAGCTCCTCCCAGCTCTTGATATCAGCCTCCATTTTCTGAGGTATGCCTTCAGTGTTTCCTCTGGCCACCATGAGATTCAGGCTGTTACTCAGCTGGGAGTAGAGCACTTGTTTTGGGAGTCGAGACTTGGGCACTCACATGCACAATATCTGGTGCAGTGAAGTTGGTACTTGAAGACCCCTGACTCAATGCTTATAACATGGCTTCAGCAAGGATGCTGATGTTTTTGCACCAATCTTCCCATTTGATGTGGAGATTTTCCAGAGACATCCTTGGCAAAACCTCTCTAGGCTCTTGAGACGATAGCAGTAGATTGCCCATGTTTCCTATATGTAGAGGAGGGTGGGGATGATGACTGCAGTGTAGACCTGGATCTTGGTGTCTTTCTCAAGATTATGATGAGTAAAGACACACTGAAGCAACTTTGCAAAGGAGGCACTTTCGCACCTGATTCTGTGCTGGGTCTCCTTGTCAATGTTCACTCTTTGAGAGAGGTAACTACTGAGGTAGGGAAAATGCTAGTCTGCCTGCAGGGTCTTTCCCTCCATAGTAATATGAGGAGGGGGTTTCATTCATGGCCCAGGGCAGGCTGATGGAGCCCTTTAGTCTTCTTGATATTGATCGAGGCCTCAAGTTTGATAGTTTTCTCTGAAAAGTTGCAGTGGGGTCTGGAGGTTTTCCTCCATGGGTGTGTCTACATGTTCATTTATTTGCTTAATGAAATACTAACTAAATATGCAGTAACTAGAGTTACTGTGCAGTAGCTCTGGCAAATGCCTTTTTAGTGACACTGCTGTGCAGTAGCTTAATAATACTGCACGGTATCGTATTAGCACTGTCCATGCTGTGATGCAAAATGGAGAAAATGTAGAATACTGTGTGTAAAGGTTTCGTCTCTGTTAAAACAAAAGGTATTCTAATAAATTACTTTCCTCACCGTGACCGTCAGTATCATGATCACTTGCCTGACTGTCGTGGTGGTGGTCCCAACTCTCGTCTGCCATGTCTTGATTTTAAAAGATGATCTTGATCGGGAGGTGGTGCTTATAGCCACCACTTGACACTGTTGTATCCTAATAGGTCTCTTCTGGGGCTTTGACCTCCCCTACAACCCTGCCTAGTGCCACCCAGATGTTATGTCACTGTTTGTTTGTATCAATCTTAGCCGGCAAATTTATTTTTATTTTTTAGGCTCAAGCGTGTCCTGTCAGGCCTCTCAACATATTAGAGTCAATGTGACCTACCCAATTTCTTCTGCAGTCACAGGTAAGTCCGGGGTCTAATCTCACTTGGGGTTAAGCCCCCTTCTTACTTTAACCCAAAAATGAAAATTATTCAAAAGAAAGGAAATAAAGCTTTTCCAGGCTGCTGTCCCTAGTTCTCTCTTGCACTCGGGGGGTTTTATTTTTCAGTCAGGGAGCATAGCTTCCCTTGTTAAGTTCTCCAGGCAGTCTCTGGCTGCTGGACATAATACTTCTCCAACCTGTAGAGACACAGGCATGTTGATCAAACAAACAAAACAGAAAACAAAAGTAAAATTAGTACTTGTGTTGCCAGGGCTCAACTGCACTGCTCCCCGGCCCTTATTTCCCTTTGGCCGTCCTCCTGCCACTTATACCGCTTCACTCAGTGGTGCCTCTATGGCTGGTTTCTCGTGGCTTAATTGAGCTCCTCAGCTAGCTGGCTGCTGGTTCTCTGCCAATGTGGCTGTCCCACCCAGCCTCCGGGGTCCGGGACACGGGAGCTCTCCCCACAGCTCCCTGTGTTTCTCTCTCTCTCCATCTGGGTCTTCTCTCTCTTTTTTTTATTTTGGGGCTGCTCTAGCTTCATGGAGCAGTTGCTCTGGAATCACAGCTCCCAGGGAGCTCTTTTCTCCTTTTCTGGTTTGTGCCAGCTTTTGAGCTTTTGGTGAGTCTTTTCTGTGTATCTCTTCTCCACACTGTGCAACTGCCAGAAGTTAGGAAGGTATTGTCAATGATGACATCATAATATGCCTTGAATTTTAATTGGATTATAAACCCTTAACTCTTAAAGAAACTAATAAATACCTTAGGTAACAGACTTCATAAACAACACTATCCATATCCATTGCATTAGTAAATTATAAACTAAGTAGTTAAGACTGTGACTGACTAACTCAACTCCAAAGTTATATTCTGAGGTTTCAAAGAATTTTTTTTTTTATAAACTAACTTTGATTTTAAAATGAAGCTTTTTAGAAATTGATAATATTTCAAAGTTTAAAATGAATTATAGCAGTATCTAATTTAAAGGGTTTTTTTCATTATTGGTATTTGTCTCTTCTGTGATGTTCATCTACTTCTCTGGGACCCTTCCTTATTGGTAATGTTTCTGAACCAATAGACATTTACTTTTGTAAATGTGAAAATTGCATTGGGGAGCTCTGGATTCTGTTTCTTGTGCTCTTTGCCAAATTTCATGTGTAAATAAATAGGGTAAATGCCTTCTGGAGGTAAAAATGCATGTTCATTGATTGTACACCTCTTCTCAAAATGCTTTAGTGTTATTTTGTCATTAGTAACATCAAATGTACTAACTGGCAACTTTGGTTACCTTGTGTTCCATTCGAGCATTCATCCTACTCTCTTCAGGTCTGCAGGATTGGAAACCACAGAAAAATAAAATAAAATTCTGCTTGAAATGGGCTAAACCTTTATCCTTTGATCAGTACAAGAGTTAGTCAAATCTCTTGAATTGCTAGTGTCATAGAAGAAACTGCTCTGTTGGGACTTTCTTCTGATATATTTTGTTGGATACGCATAATTGGTGTATTGCTGCTGCTGTAATGGTCCAGGTATTTTTGTGATATCTCTTATTGCATCAATAGTGTAGTTGGGGGAGCTGTTAGGCAAGCTTTTGGGTATCAAGTGCTCTTCCTCAAGTCTGGATAAGGAGGCATTCACACTTTGTCAAATGTCAGAGAGCTGCCCATTTACCCATGTTGACATAGTAATAATTCAGTTTAAATGATTTGGTTTTAGTGTGCTGGTAAAACTGAGAACAGCATACAAAAAGAGATTTAGTAACCCTGAATAATCATCTGACATAGCACTACTTTGCTAATAATTTAATTTAGTACTGCCGTAATGAACATTTAAATAGATGCTTCTAGAGGGTTTTATACTTCTCCCTCTGTGCATTTGAAAAAGTATTAAGGGCTTGGAGGATGTCCTCTCCCTCTTCTGTTTTTATTTTCAATAAAAGAGAATTTTGCTTAGAGTATCTTCCCCCCCCCCCAATCTGCTGTCCTAACTTCAAACTGTAGAATTACACTTATTTTTTGGATGGAACCATTTTGATTCCAACTTGTTGTTTGCAGGTCAGTTTTGTTAAACAGTTGGGAAAGTGTCATTTTGTACCTGGTGATAATATTATTTGTCATAGAACCATCTGTGGTGATACTTTATTGGACAGCATACTGTAGTCATGTGCAGTGCAGGAAAGCATTTATTTTTCTGATTTTTGTACCAGTATCACTCTTCTCTTTGATCATGCTTGCTCTGGAAAAGTGATATCTGTTTAATGGCTTTCATTTCTTTTTTTCTTTATCCAGGCCGTAGGTTTCAACATTTGTAAAAACACTCAAGCTTAGGGAAAAAAGATCTTATTCAAGATTAGCCTGTTCATTGTGTGTTTGTAAGCCTGTGTAAATTTTGAGTATCATCCTGGTCTTGTGGGGGATTAAAATCTATGGTAAAATGAATAGTTTCCCTTTAGCTTTTTCAGTAGTCTTTTGAAACATCTGTGCTGGTGTCTAATATTTTCTGTTTTTAGGAAAAGTTTCATTAAGAACAGAAAAGATTAGACAATGGGCCAGATGTGTTTCAAAACTTAGCAAGCATGTTCTGCTAGAACTACTGTCCGCCAGATAGTGCTTAGGGAGTGTTAAAGCACAATTAACCCTTAAATGGAATGTGAAATATGAACACAGACAACTCAGTGTCCTAAAAGCAAAGTCTAACTTTATTAGTACAAGTCTTCGCAGTTTCTGTATTCAGAGAGAGAAAAACACTTAGTACAATGGTATCACCCAATCCCAGATGTTACTTTGCTCAACAGAAAAGACTGCCATTCAGTTCCTGAAGCAAAGTGTGCGTCATTGGCTGGGACTGTCCAGACAGGTGTTGAAGGCTGGATTTATGATGATGATAATGACAACACACTTAACTTTCTTGCTGCCCCCTTTTATGCTTTTCTTTAAGTTCACTTCTTTGACTCCTTGCTTCTGGATTGGTCTCTCTGCAGTCAACTTATTGTCCATACTTTACCCTGTCAGCATATTCCTTTGTTCAACAGACCCATCGTGAGCACACCTCTTAATTTGGCCTTTTTCGGTGTCTTACTTTGGGGCGTTGTCCATTGGCCTCCCTTATCGCCTTTCATTAACGTATCCAATCATTTCATCCTTCTGATTCAGCATGTTAGTGCCAAGTTCAGTTAATTGGAGCTGGCAACAAAACTATTACTATGTTGTGTTAGAAAATCTTCTCACAGTGATAGAAAAGGAAAGAAACATCATGCAAGCAAACTCAAGGCCATAAGCTGCTTGCAAGAGGCAAGGCCAGCTGATATAGCAGACACCAGCAAAATGAAAAGTTCAGATAACAATGAGGCTATACAGAACTTAAGCAATGATTAAATAAGGCTGAATATAAAAGAAAACTTTAAACAATACTGTAATTCACCGCTTTATAAATAGGTGCAACTTTAAAGCCTAAAATATGACAAGCTACCACTGATTGACAGTTCCGTTGATAGTAAGTCATTCCAGCATGCAACCTGCTATGTTATATCTTAATATCTTTACTGGAAGGTTCTAAGGATTGAGAATGTAACCTGCAAAAAGTATTGTCTGCACTGCAGAATTTACCGTGCAAACCACCATGAAGTTGTTGTAGTTAATAGAGGTGCACTGATACATCGGTCCCGTATGGTATTGGCACTGATGTAAGGAAAATTGACATTATTGGCAATTGGCTTTTTTGTGACTGATAATGTTGCTGATAAATGTTGTGTGCATGCATGCAGGTGGCCAGGAGCACAGCTTGGCAGTGTGGAGAGCAGCGTCTGGCTGGTAAGTCTGTTGTGGGGGAAAGGGTGGGGGGCCGCAAGGGGTGTGGAGGGGCAGATTGAGGACCCTGTGGTGCGGGAGGGACTAGGGCTGGGGCAGGTGCTGCACAGTTGGGGCAGGGCATGGGATGGAGCTGTGAGTGGCT